TCCCCCTCCAGCATCAAGGGGGCTTTCTTGGCACCCAATTCAATTGCATACACCCCTTGCATCTCTCATACACCCACTTGAGCTTTGTGTTCTTCCATCTAAGTGTTTGAGGGTTGTTCTAGCCAAGAGTCAAGTGCATTTGCTTCCATTGTAGAGCTAGTGTGGCACTTGATCATCTCCGAGCCGCGTCATTGCTTGTTACTCTTGGAGGTTGCCGCCTCCTAGACGGCTTGTGAAGGAGTTGCCCGGTGACCTCTCCGAGAAGATTGTGGAGGAGGCCCGGCGCCGGTTTGTGAGTGGTTTGGAGTTCACCACCTTCGGAGTGAAGGAAGAACTACCCCGAGTGATCGAGGCTTGGGTAGTCCTCTCCGTGGGCCGGCTCCCGCCTTACCCACCCCTTGACGAAGGGGGCGTGCGGTGGCTTTGTGGTTGAGCGGTGGAGTTGGGCTCGCCTCAACGGGGAGTAGGAAACTGGCGAGTTTCCGAACCTCGGTGAAAAATCTCTTGTCTCCTTGTGTCATTTGATTGTCGTATTTACATTTGTGCAATTACATTCCTAGAGACATACTTGAGATCATATCACCCTAGGATTGCAAAACATTGACATAGGAGTGTAATTTACTTTCCTAGAGAATTAATTGAGCCACTATCACCATAGGTTTGCAAAACATAACCTAGTTGCTTAGTTAGACTTAACCCTCACCGAGCCTAGAAACTTAGGTTAGTTTTGATTAAGTGTCATTTAGGTTTTTAAATCGCCTATTCACCCCCCCCTCTAGTCGACATCTCGATCCTACAGCAGCGGCGGGCGCGACGGCCGGGGAGAGGAAATCGTTGGCGCGGCTGTGTGGCTCCGGTTGACGGCGACGACGGTTGATGGGGATGACATGGATGGACGGCGAACTCGTCGCCGTAGCGCACCGCCTCCGATGCCCTCCTCGGCGCCTCCCACCATGCCCTCCACGCTACGCGCGCCACTCGCCGCGCCACCCCGAGGATGATTCATCGCCGGCCGCCTGCCTGAGCAGAGAGAGAGAGAGAGAGAGAGAGAGTGGGAGGGAGGGAGGGAGGCCGTGCATCCCGCTGACTCCCCGTCGGAACCGAGAAGAGGCTCCGCACCTCTCTCCGCCGCCTCCAACACCCTCCTGGCCTCCTCGGCATCGCCCGTTGCCTGCCACGTCCTCCCTGCGTTCTGCCGCCAGCCCGCGCGCGCCGACCACCCGTCCGCCCCAGCACGCCGCCGCCCGCCGCTCATCACCGGCCCCCGCGCACCGACTACCCGTCCGCCTCCACGCGCCTCCACTCACCGTGCTGCACGCTCTGAGCCCGAGAGAGGGGAAAAGGATGAGGAAGAGGGGAAGATAAGGTATGATAGGCGGGTCCCACTATTTTTTAAAAAATAAAATGCTGACTGGATTGCCACGTGTACGCCACGTAGGACAAAACCGCTCTAGATTCGGTCGAAGGGGGTAATTTGTCCGGTATTGAAAGTTCAGGGTGAGCAATGTCTGGTTTTCGAGTTTAGGGGGGTAAATCATACAACCGCGATAGTTCAGGGAGGTAATTCGTACTTTTTACTTTTTAAAAAAGAAAATAGTACATGTGCATGTGCAGCCTACCGAACTCCACAACCCACTCGATGCATGTGCATGCATACACATCCCAAATTCCCAATATTTTAAGCCCAATCGAACAATCTGTTCTTCGACAGTGTGCTAAATTTGTAATTTTAGACAACCAATATCTAATTTTACAATTTTCGTTAAATTTGTATTATTTCTAAAAAAGTTCTTTTAAAAGATTGTGAGGGCACATCCAATTTTGCGATTAAGGGAGATAAAACAGACTTATTCCTTCTCAAATAACAGTATTTCCAACGGTAAATCTAATTGGAGAGGCCTCTCCAATTAGTCTTAACCAGAGACACCCACGTGCTAGTACTTTAGGAGTTTTGGTTGCTATTAGTATATCCAATAGTGCATATCTTGTTTTCTTCTTATAGAATTTTCTCTTAAACTAATTATCCAATCTACAATCTGATTACACCATTACTTTCGTTGCAATTAAATATTTACAACAAGATCTTACATGATTATATTACGATGAAAAATATTTATATTTATAAATTACTTTTATTATATACGTAAGTTACTTTTATCATATATATATAAGTTACTTTTATATTTGACTAAATTACTTCTATACATTCATAATACTCTAAGTTGATTATTTTTATTATTGTTTTTAGTTAATTCTATATTTTGTGGACTTTATAAATCTTCTCTACTTTACTCGTGAATTTACTCTACATAGTTTCTTATTTCAGTTCACTCACAATATAATTATTTCTACTATAGAGAGTTACTTCCTCCGTTTCATAATGTAAGTCATTTTAGCATTGCCCATATTCATATAGATGTTAATGAATCTAGACATAGTTCTAAATTAAAGTTACTTTCTTTTTTGTTATAAATTACTTCTATAATATATGTAAATTACTTTTAAGCTTTACTAAATTTACTTTTATATGTCTAAGAAGTAACTTAGTGAAATCTAAAAGTAATTTAGACATATCATAAAAGTAATTTATGATTTTTCATCAAAATATAATCATGTGAGATCTTGTTGTAAAGATTTAATTGTTACGAACACAACGATGTAATCGGATTATAAATCGTTTGAGTAATTTAAGAGAAACTTCTTTAAGAAGAAAAAATATATAGATATTGAGTGTATTAGTAGCTTTTTTTGAAAAGAAGGGTGTCTCTGTTTAGTACTATCCAGCTAGCACTCTCGGTCTCAGTGTAGTTGTGTACTATTTCCAAACGTAGCACGATTAGTGTCCGAGGTGAATTGGCGGATCTACGGCTACGCGACGTGTCACGTGTGCGGCACTACAGCCATCTGCAAGGAGCGGATATGCTCTCGGATTAATCTGTTTTCGTCCGTAAGTGCTACAGTTTGTGATTTGTCTGATCATGACAAAGGTCTACACGCATGTACACCTGTTCACATAATGACACGATCAAAACATGTTAAGTACGTCCCATGTACGATACGACTACGATGCCAACGGCATCTTTGATTGATTTGATATTAGTATATATCACCATCACACTATCACAATTCACAGTCACACAAGTCAGGCTTGGAGTATTGAACAGGCTCTCTCTAGCTCTACATGTATACAATAGTCATTCACTCATTCTCACTCAGCCGCCACCCGCCAAGATGTCCCCTCGGGTAGCCCAACGAGAGAACGAGCCATTGTTACTTGTACTCGTCCTCCTCATACAAACCTTGATCGCGAGCTCGCTTCCATGCTTGCCGGACCAGGCCTACCTGACCATCTTGCACCGTCTTCATCTCATTTTAGATCTGGTCTACTTCCTAACTTTTTCTTCAAACTTTCAACTTTTTCATCATATCAAAACTTTCATACACACATAAACTTTCAACTTTTCTGTCATATCGTTTCAATTTTAATCAAACTTCTAATTTTAGCGTGAGCTAAATACACCCTAAAGCTTAGCGTACATGGCAGGACACGTCCTCGAATCTTTTCTGCATCTTCGTCAGGCCAACAAACAAGAGCCACAGAGAAGATGCTCCTTTTTCCTTGACCCGGAGAGCAAGTTTAATAGTATAGCTAACTACTAGCTCCAATTCACCTATAGTCAATCTAATAGCTTATTTATACAATATTTATATATTACACTATTAATAATTGGTCCCACCTGTTATGCAAACACCGCGTTTTGAAGTCCGTGCTACAGCTGGCTATAAATCTGTAGCGTGCTACTCTTCTCTCTTCTTATTTATCTTCTTAAAATATGTTTAAAGCTAACTTTGATCCTGCAATTGTACCTGCTCGGATAAATTGATAATGCGGTTTAAACTTTCTATGCCATTGCACTCTCTCTGCCCTAAAATGATCGACCAATGAATTTCAACAGAGACATATCCAGATTCGTTGATATAGGATGAATCATATCTCATCTAAGTTAAGTTATTTTAGGGCAGAGGGAGTACATCTCAAGTCTAAATAATCTAAGTATAGAAAACTCATGGCTACACTTATTTTACGATGAAGATAACTCATGGCTATACTTATTTTACGATGGAGGTAGTAGGTCCGTTTCGTTCCAGATATTCAAACAGTCTGTACGCAAAAAGCCATTCAACGGCCGCGACAGTACATGGGTTGAACGTTAAGCTTACGCTACCACACCGCGACACGGGCTCATATTTCATTTTCTAAAGACTAGCCATGCAGTCATCGACAACGACAGGACTAAAACAGAGGCGTCATTTCACAACAGAAAAATTCACATGTAAGGATCAACGGTTCAACACCATCTTCAGAAGAAAAGAATATGATAAAAATTAAGTTTTTTTATGTAAAATAAGATGATATTAACGTATAATTAATTTAAGTTTTAATTATTATAAACTTAAAAGATCAACTTTCATACTGAAAGTTTTCGCACAAAACACACCGTTTAGTAGTTTAAAAAACGTGCCATAAAAATCTTAATCTTCATCTAACTTTTATTGGAGAAAAATGAAGGGGTTCCAACACTGCATGAACAGTGTCATTGGTTTTTCTTCTTGACTTTAAATGAATGAGCTTACCTTGACTTCGCCCGCCATTCCCACGGAGACGGAGTGAACTCCACGTCCATTGATGGGTTGCTTTACCAGATCGTAGGAAGCAAGATGTTATGTAATCTCACTAGCCAACATAGGGTGCGTTTAGTTCACGTTAAAATTAGAAGTTTGATTAAAATTGAAATGATGTGACGAAAAAGTTAAAAGTTTGTATGTGTAGGAAAGTTTTAATATGATAGAAAAGTTAAAAGTTTGAAGAAAAAATTGGGAACTAAATCAGGCCATAGGCCATAGATTGTACAGAAACAGGCCTGGATGACACGGGATGTCAAGTTTTCACACGGAGAGGAATGAAATTCGCGATATATATGCATGGTCAGGAGCCAGGATGTCAAGTTTTCACATGATTCAGTAAGCAAGCACCAAGTGAACTCGCAAGATGAACTACACGCATAGATGCCTCCACAGCCACAAACTCCCTCTTCTCATCCTCCTCATTGCCATCGTCGTCATACTCATACAGCCATACTCCATCCATGCTGCTGCCAACAGCAGCAACACCACCATCAGATGCCTGACATCTCAGTCATCCGCCCTCCTCCAGCTGAAGAGCTCCTTCCACGACGCGAGCCGCCTCTCGTCCTGGCAACCGGACACCGACTGCTGCCGATGGGAGGGCGTCACCTGCCGCATGGCTTCTGGGCATGTCGTTGTGCTGGACCTCAGTGATGGTTATCTTCAGAGCAATGGGCTGCACCCTGCACTGTTCAACCTCACCTTGCTCACAAACCTCGCCCTCAGTGGCAATGACTTCATGGGAGCACAACTCCCAGATTCTGGGTTTGAGCGGCTTTCGAAACTTGTCAGCCTTGACCTCTCTGCGACCAACTTTGCTGGCCAGATCCCCATTGGCATTGGAAATCTGAGCAACATGCTTGCTCTTGACTTGTCTCATAACCCCAATTTGTACCTCACGGAGCCAAGTTTTCAGACCTTCATAGCAAACCTGAGCAATCTGAGAGAGCTCTACCTTGATGAGATGGACCTCTCTAGCAGCGGGGCAACTTGGTCAAGCGATGTAGCAGCTTCTGCTCCACAGATTCAGATACTTAGCTTCATGTCATGTGGCTTGTCTGGTTTCATTGATCCCTCCTTCTCACGACTCCGTTCACTGACAATGATCAACGTCAGACTCAATGTCATCAGTGGCATGGTTCCTGAGTTCTTTGCCAACTTCTCTTTCTTAACAATTCTGGAGCTATCTGGCAATGCTTTTGAGGGTCAGTTCCCCACAAAGATCTTCCAACTAAAAAGGCTGCAGTTTATTGATTTATACTGGAACAATAAGCTTTGTGTGCAGTTGCCAGAATTCCTACCTGGTAGTCGTCTGGAAGTGTTGGATCTCATATTGACCAACCGTTCTAACGCCATACCAGCATCAGTGGTCAATCTCAAGTATCTAAAGCATTTGGGCCTTACAACAGTAGAGGCTTCAATGAATTCTGATATCCTTTTGATCAGAGAACTCCACTGGCTGGAAGTTCTCCGGCTCTATGGAGGATCAGGACAAGGGAAGCTGGTGTCGTTCTCTTGGATAGGCAGCCTTAAACATTTGACATACCTGGAGCTTGGCAATTACAACTTCTCTGGATTGATGCCCTCTTCGATTATCAATCTTACAAATCTGACAAGTTTAACGCTCTACAATTGCAGCATGTCTGGGCCCATACCTTCTTGGATTGGGAACTTGATCCAACTCAATAATTTGAACTTCAGAAACAACAACCTCAATGGTGAGATCCCTACAAGAATTTGAAATCTCAATCATAGCTCAACAGTTTCTAATGGTACAGTAGTACAGTACAGGTGGTAATACTGAATAGAACCTACTCCTTACTTTAAAAGGTTATTGATGTTTTAGTATTTTGCCGCATTGACTAGGAAATGCCCTAGATCACAAGTAACTTAAAAATTAGCTTCTACTCCAGTGAGTCCAGTCCATTTGCACTGCTACTTTTATTTATATTTATAAGAGAGCCTACAAATTATAGCTTGTTGACTATAACTAGATGTGTATGCAGGAACAATTCCAAAGTCCATCTTCGCACTTCCTGCGTTGCAATCACTATATCTAGATTCTAATCAACTTTCTGGTCATTTAGAAGACATCCCTGTTCCATTATCTTCATCTGTGTATGACATTGATTTAAGCAACAATTGGCTTCATGGCCCCATTCCCAAATCATTTTTCTGTCTTCCAAATCTTGAGTATCTCAATCTTGAGTCAAATCACTTGACCGGCATAGTGGAACTTAGGCCTTTCTGGAGACTAAGAAGCCTTTATTTTCTGGGTTTCTCTAACAATAAGCTGTCGGTGATTGATGGAGAAGATTCTCCATCTCAATATCTCCCTAAGATTCAGCACCTAGGACTAGCATGTTGCAACCTCACAAAACTTCCAAGAATTCTGAGACATCTATATGACATTCTTGAGCTAGACCTTTCAAGTAATAAGATTGGTGGAGTTATACCAGGATGGATATGGGAGATTTGGAAGGACACCCTTGGATCATTGGACCTCTCGAACAATGCATTTACTAGCCTGGAGAACTCTCCCTCTCTTGTTACATTTACACATCTAAGCCATCTAAATCTCAGTTTCAATAGACTTCAAGGAGAAATACCCATACCAGCCATATCATTGCCTTATGGTGTAGTTGTATTGGATTACTCAAACAATGGGTTCTCTTCCATACTACGTACATTTGGTAGGTATCTTAACAAAGTAGCCTATATTAACTTGTCCAAAAACAAACTAAAAGGCTATGTACCCATTTCCATTTGTAGTATGAAGAAACTCCAATTCCTGTACTTATCTGATAACAACTTTAGTGGTTTCGTTCCATCTTGTCTGGTAGAAGGCAGAAGCTTAAGGGTACTGAATTTGAGGGGGAATAAATTCAACGGGATGTTGCCTAAGGGCATTAAAGAAGGATGTAAGCTTGAGACTATAGATTTGAACAGCAACCAAATTGAAGGGAGGCTGCCCAGAACACTATCAAACTGCAAAAGTCTGGAACTCCTCGATGTTAGTAACAATCACATCCTCGATCTGTTCCCTTTGTGGCTGGGGAATCTTCCCAAGCTTCGAGTTCTTGTACTGAGATCAAACCAATTATATGGCACAATTAAGGGTCTCCATAATAGTGATCTAACAAGGGATCACTTCTCAAGCTTGCAAATACTTGATTTAGCCAATAACACTCTATCTGGTCAGTTGCCCCCAAAATGGTTTGAGAAACTGAAATCAATGATGGCAAATGTCGATGATGGACAAGTTTTGGAGCACCAAACAAACTTTTCACAAGGATTTATCTATCGAGACATCATCACTATCACATACAAAGGGTTTGATATGACATTCAATAGAATGCTAACTACCTTTAAAGCAATTGATTTCTCAAATAACTCATTTGTTGGAGTTATTCCTGGAACGATAGGGAGTCTTGTTTCACTTCATGGACTTAACATGTCACATAATAATTTCACTGGAGCAATCCCGCAACAGCTTGGTAACTTGGCTCAGCTAGAGTCCTTGGATCTCTCTTGGAACCAGCTCTCAGGGGTAATACCACATGAGTTAACATTTCTAACTTCTCTTTCTTGGCTGAATCTTTCGAATAACAACTTGACTGGAAGAATACCACAGAGCAACCAGTTCTTGTCGTTTTCCAACAGTTCATTTGAAGGTAATTTGGGCCTCTGTGGAAGGCCACTATCCAAAGATTGTGATAGTTCTGGTTCAATAACTCCAAATACAGAAGCTTCTTCAGAAGACAGCAGTTTGTGGCAAGATAAAGTAGGGGTCATCCTAATGTTTGTCTTTGCTGGCTTGGGGTTTGTGGTTGGCTTTATGCTGACAATCATATTTCAACTGGTTTGCCAGGTCAAAGGGGGAACCTACTGTATTTGTTAGAAATATCACTGAATCTACTTTGCTTTGGCTTTGGAAAATAGTGTAGTTATTACTTAAAAGCAGTTTGCCCCGTCACTGTGTGTCCTTACCTAAAATAATAGCGTGAACTTAGAAATGACCTTATTTCCCAGGTATCACTTATGAGTGCTATATAAAATGCTTGTTGAAATTAAGGTCTGGGTTTCTTGTAGATGTTACTTATTAAAAGAATGTTATGGTTTTCTTAATTGGTAAATGAGTCCAACAAAGAATTAGAACTTATGAAAACAGTAAACTGTTACTGGGTACCAATCAGAGCAGCCAGTTAAATTTTGTAATGTCCAAACTACAACAATTTTTTTAAGAAATAGCACAATCTCCAAGTGAGCTCTCATACACCTTGCATACTGTTTTTCTACAGAGCAAACTAGTCAGCTAAACTTTTATAGTTTTATCTCACATCCACAGAAGCTATTAGTTTCCAGTTTCTTATTTTCCCTTTTTATGGCTTCATAGAAGAAATTAACAGGCATTCTAAATATGATCCAGTGTTATGAATTCCATTTAATAAAAACAGAAGCCAAAAGTCCAAGCTGGGCTCGTCTAAGAACAATGCAAAATCAAGGCCGAAAATAGGCTGAAAAACAAAAGGATCTACCAAGCACCAAGTACTCCCTTTGTCCAAAGAAAAGGTGTATCTTGCCTTGTACATGACAATTGAGACATTGAAAATGACTAGAATAGCTACAATTATTATCTCTAGTGACTATATCTATTGCATTCATGAATGGAAAAGGTAAAGCTGGATGGTTACTAGGGGAATAATTGGAATATGAAATACATCCTATATCTTTGTGCATGGTCATTGGAAAGTATGCCTGATATTTTGGAGGAATGGTATAACTCTAAAAATATTGATTTTATTGTATGATCAATAAAAGAGCTATATGTCATATTTGTCCGTGAAGTTCCTTATGATTTCTCAGAAAGATTGACAATGACCTAATAGAAGACAACATTTTCAGTATTAGAGATAAACTATTTTCTTATAGGCCAAATGCAGTGAGAATTGAAATAGACATGTGCGTGTTAGCATGTAGGCGATGATACCAACAGAAAGTGACCCAAGAGTTCGTCATTGTAGGTGCTGAACAATCACATATGCAAGTAAACTGCCATTCCTAATACCACGGCATCAAACATCCAGTAAGAGCTCGTTTTCGATAGATGCTAAGCACAATCAACAATGGAAGAGTATTCTAGGAATCCTAAACCCAAATACTGCACCGCATACACCAAATTTGGAAAATGAAACGCTTCAGGTGCTCTCACCTGTACATTGCAGCCGCTGAGAGGCGCATTTCCTCGAACACGTGGTGGTAGGAGAGGACGACGAGACCGATGGCAATAGGATGAACTGCGCGCATTTCCTTGGACATGTCCATGGCCATGGAGACCCCGTTAATTGCCGACTGCGACGATCTGGAACCTTGGATACCATCTCTCTCCCTCGTCGCCTCCTCAATCTCACCCCTCTACCACCACACGCCCCCATTCCGCCGAGTACTTCGAGTGGGATGAGGTGGAGTAGAAGGATGACGAGGAGTGGAAGTACTCCAGGGCGCGGCATGCGCTTCAGCCACGGCGTACAGGAGAGGGAGATCGCCCCGAGCTCGCCACGAGGATGGCCGGGAGAGACCCCGCCCGCCTGCAGCCAATACCGCCTCCAACCGCCGCTGCACATCTTCACTTTCTCTCAATTCGGAGGCGTCGCAGAGAGGCAAAGCAACCGGAGGCGTACATGGCCGCCTCGCGTCTGGTCATCTGGTGTTGTAAACGGCGGCGCCGGCCATCCTCGTCGTCGCCGGGCAACATCCTGCCCTACGCCTCCCCGTCGAAGTAGTTTTTTTTTTCAAGGGCTTTTGAGGCCCCAATTTCCATTGACAGAGATGAGATAGTATCATAGTAAAGCTAGTACTCCCTTCGTAAAAAAAAAAAAAAAAAGAAAAATCCTGGGTTTCTGTGTGCAACGTTTGACCGTCCGTTTCATTTTAAAAAATTATGAAAAAAATTAAAAAGATAAGTCAAGCATAAAGTATTAATCATGTTTTATCATCTAACAATAATGAAAATACTAGTTATAAAAAAAATTCATATGAGACGGACAGTCAAACGTTGGACACAAAAATCTAAGATTTGTCTTTTTTTAAGACGGAGGGAGTACAAGATTCTTAAAGGAAACAAAAGGACTAAGCGCCTGTTCACCATTTTCAACCATACTAATTTTTTTTAATTAAGTTGTCAAAAAAATATCTACGTTTAATTGTTACCATATTTGGTAAATACATAAGAAATCATGTCAAAATTTTGGCAATATTACCATCTTGCCTTTGGTAAGGTTTACTTTGGCTACAATCTAAACAGGCTCTAAAGAAAACAAAAGATCCAGAATTTCAACGCAGCAACCTCAAGAAAAAAGGGGAACTCGGTCTAAGGGCAACCTCAAGAATAAAGGAGAACTCGGTCTAAGGGCATCTACAATCAGAACACTCTAAGACTACCCTCACTAACTGAGAGTACTCTCTGGGAAACCCCCCCTCACAATGAAAGATACCCTAGTAGCCTAACGAGTGCCCCTAGCCCAAAAAGCCCACGTAGGTATTTTACTATACTACCCCTCTGTTCTCCCCCCCCCCCTCTCTCTTCTCATTTACCGGCGCGCCTCCTCCCCTCCGCCGCTCACCTCTCTCTCCTTCTCCCTCTCGTTGCCGCCGCTCGCCGGAGACTCGAGGCGTGCTCGGCGATGGCGCGGTCCTTGGCCGCGGCGGCCTCGTCGGACCGGGAGCGGCGTCATGGTGCGTCACAGGAGCAGCGGGAGCGACGGCGAGGACGACGAGGAGGGCCGCCTCTCCTGTTGCCGGCGTCCACCACCGCCCCTCTCTCTTCCTCTCTCTCCCGTCGGCGTCCTCCCCGGCATCCTCCGCCTCGCGTCGTGGTCAGTCGGGAGCGCCAGATCCGGCGCCGTAGTGGGTGGATCTAGGCCCCCCGTGGCGCCGGCGGTGGCGGGCAAGGCACCGGCGGAGGAGGCCGGGCAAGGCGCGCGAGGCGGCGAGCACAGGCGCCTCAAGCCATCTCCGCCCGTCGCTAGCTGGTGGTCGATGGCTACCGCGGCGCGCGGTGGCCGGATCCGGTCGTCGCCGATCCATCGTCATCACCGTCGCCTCTCTCTTCTCTCTCTCTCTAAGGCCGACGGTGGCGGTCCCGGCGGTGGTAGGCGCGGCGCCAGCGGTGTCGGGCGCGGCGCGACGAGACCAAGGGGAGAGCGAGAGAGACAAGGGTGTAAGGGGAAATTTGGGGGGACGACGCCGTGCCCACGAGCTCCACACGCGCACAACGCGGCGCCTGGCTGCGTCTTCCCACGAAAAGCTAGTGAGGCACAGAGAGAGCCGCATCCCCCAGCAGAGGGACGCGTTCCATCGCAGGGGACGACACCGATGAAAAAGGGGATGTCCGTCGCTAGGGGCACGGGCTGAAGCACCGCATTGGTGATGGCCTAAGGCAACACAAAAAATCTGCAGACTTTCGACAAAACTATGTTGCCATCGGAACTAAGGCTGTGTTCGGGAACCCTCATTCCCCGTCATGCAAAACGAAGCAGCATTTAGCATGATTAATTAAGTTTTAGCTAATTTTTTTTCAAAACTGAATTAATATGATTTTTAAGCAACTTTCGTATGGAAACTTTTTGCAAAAAACACACCATTTAGTAGTTTGAAAAACGTGCACGCGGAAAACGAGGAGGAGAAGTTGGGAACATGTCCCACCGAACGCAGCCTCTACATCCCACCCTAAAATTTTTCACCCTGTCACATCGAACGTTTAAACACCTGCATGAAGTATTAAATATAGGCTAAAAAATAACTAATTGCACAGATTATGACTAATTTGCAAGATGAATCTTTTAAGCCTAATTGCTCTGTGATTTGACAATATAGTGCTACAGTAAACATTTGCTAATAACGGATTAATTAGGCTTAATAAATTCGTCTCGCGGTTTACTAACGGATTTTGTAATTAGTTTTTTTTTATTGCCCGAATACCCCATGCGACACCCTATATAACACCTGATGTGACATGCCAAAACTTTACACCTCTTAATCTAAACACCCCCTAACTTGCAACAAAAGCCTAAAACCAAAAGGATCCAGTCATCCAGAACATCAGCAACCGTCGTCTTTAAGCAAAGAACCAAGGAGCATTTACAATGCAGTGCAAAAGTAGTTTATAAGCAATAAAACATTACATTTAGCCACCTACAACCATTGTGCAACTGGTCCATATAAAAAAAATAACAAAAGATACTTGTATGCATATGGACTACCCATATGGAATAAATAATATTATCTATCTCGACTTCTCTCTCTTCTCTTAATGATATCTTGTATTTATACATTATGAGGATTGCTATATGTAAAGTTTATTTATATAGATCTCAGCTATACAGATATTGGTTGATAAAAATCACAAATTTAGCATTATATCAAACAACCATTGTTTGACAGACATAAATTTATACCTGACGAACAACAGCCATTCGACAGGTTAGGTGGCTTGATTATAAAAAAAGAGAGCAAGCAAGTACTATGCTGCAGGTCTATATTGATGGAAAACACGAGGCCTAGGAGATCTGCTTAACTCCAGTGCAGGTCTAAAACTCGCCTTCGGGTATGCTAGCGTGCCAGTTGATTTGATCCTGCAATCAACAAGAAATAGAAACAAAGAAGCCGTGGTTAAACCCATAAATGATAGCCGATCGGCTAAGTGCCGATGACATATCATTTATCTTTGAGCCGATGTCATATAAGCATTGATCGGCAGTCATTGATAAGTAAAAAAGAACTAAATCTACCCGATCGGCTGTAGATATTAACAATATATAATCCTTATGTCGATATATACTTAAATCAAGTGATTGGGATAGATCGGTCGCCATGCCGATACAGTATAAATCACTTAAATCGAAATATATATTAACAACAAAATTATATATGTTCATAGCATAGCCGATCAGATAGATCTAGCATGCATCGGCTAATACTCCAATACCGCTCAATATTAAGATATTAAAGCAAGTAGAACATACCAAGCAGAAGCCTAATATACTTAAAAGCAACAAGATCTTAACATAAAGGGCAGATTTAACATGTCGATCAAGCATATAGAATAACTATAGTTAAATCAGGTAAGATCGGCTGAAACCCCGATGCTATCCTAATCGGCAACCGGAAGACAGGCTAGAGATTGAAATTCTAAGCACGATTTAATAGATCAAACTCAACTGTTGCAACATTAAGTATGAAAAAAAGAACAATATCTAGACAATCAAGTCGTTGGATGTTTCATAGAGTGGTGGATATCTTATATAATCCAAGCTAACGTCGCTATTTAACCTAATCGGCCGCCTTCTATTAACAGATGTTAGCCGATTGTAGGTTAGATGACGATATTACCGAAGATTATGTAAGATATATGATAACTCGATAAATTACATAAACAAGATTAGAGTGTCATAAAGATGGAAGCACTAATCCCGAGAACGCAAGCCGTCATAACAAGTTTTACCTCTTGTTGAAGATCGAAACCGATACAGCTCAACCCGAAAGCAAGAACTCGTCGAAATAAAACGAAAGCAAAAAGAGTGGCGATGTGCCGAGATTGTATTGAACGTATGTTGTTTGATTACATGGGGTTCGGGTCTATTTATACCCGAGAATTACAAAATATGTCCATACCGGACACGACTCTTATCTCTAACAAACTCTAAGATATCATAAGTCTTTGCGGCAGACTTTTGCCCAAATATATCTCTAAGGAAATTACATAAAATATCCTAATTAATAGATACAATTGCCTTCTCAGGACTCTATCCATGCGTGGCAATCATCTTGAAGCATATCAACCCAACCTGATGTTGTACACCAAGTCGTATTATCGAAATCGGCTGCATTACCTAACCAAGTCTGACTCGAACTTAGCCGATCCAATCGTAGCCGATCCGGACTCCAGCCAATTCTTGCTCTGTTCCCGCGACAATCCTCATCTTAGATTCCGCTTCGATCTAATCTCCCTTTCCGATGCTGATATTATCAAATTTGGTCGTTAACAATCTCACAACCCACTCACATGTATGCACACACATCCCAAATTCCCAATTTTTTAAGCTTGGTCGAACAACCTGGTGTTCTATAAGGTGCTAAATTTGTGATTTCAGACAACCACTTACAATTTTCATTAAATTTGTATTATTTCTAAAAAAAGTTCTTTTAAAAGATTGTGAGGGCACATCCATTTTGCGATTAAGGGAGATAAAAGTAGACTATTCCTTCTCAAATAACAGTATTTCCAAACGTAGCACGATTAGTGTCCGAGGTGAATTGACGAATCTACGGATACGCGACGTGTCACGTGTGCGGCACTACAGCCATCTGCAAGGAGCGGATATGCTCTCGGATTAATCTGTTTTCGTCCATAAGTGCTACAGTTTGTGATTTGTCTGATCATGACAAAGGTCTACACGCATGTACACCTGTTCACATAATGACACGATCAAAATCTGTTAAGTACGTCCCACGTACGATACGACTACGATGCCAACGGCATCTTTGATTATTTGCATTTGCATTGACTTGATATAGTATGTCACCATCACACTATCACAATTCAGTCATACAAGTCAGGCTTGGAGTACTGAACAGGCTCTCTCTAGCTCTACATGTATAAAAAAAAATCAGTTTCAAGCATCATACAATATAGTCATTCATTCAGCTGCCACCCGCCAAGATGTCACCTCGGGTAGCCCAACGAGAGTACGAGCCGTTGTTACTTGTACTCCTCCTCCTACTACAAACCTTGATCGCGAGCTCGCTTCCATGCTTGCCGGACCAGGCGGCGGCGCTGCTCCAGCTGAAGCGATCGTTCTCGGCGACCACCGCGTCCGCCACCGCGTTCCGGTCATGGCGCGCCGGCACCGACTGCTGCCGCTGGGCGGGCGTCCGCTGCGACGGCGGCCGCGTCACTTTCCTCGATCTAGGCGGCCGACGCCTGCAGAGCGGCGGCCTTGACGCCGCCGTCTTCAGCCTCACGTCGCTGAGGTATCTCAACCTCGGCGGCAACGACTTCAACGCGTCACAGCTCCCGGCCACCGGATTCGAGAGGCTCACTGAGCTCACCCATCTCAACATCTCCCCACCCAGCTTCGCAGGCCAGATACCAGCAGGTATTGGAAGCCTCACCAACTTGGTTTCTCTTGATCTGTCATCTAGCATCTACATCGTCAATCAAGGAGATGACGATGTCAGTATCATGTCAAATTTGTTACCCCCCTGGGGCTTCTCGAGGGTAAACTTCGAGAAGTTGATTGCAAATCTTGGTAATCTGAGGGAGCTCTATCTTGGATTGGTGTACATGTCCAACGGAGGCGAAGGGTGGTGCAATGCTCTGGCTAATTCCACTCCTAAGATTCAGGTTCTGAGCCTACCATTATGCCAGATCTCTGGTCCCATTTGCCAATCTCTGTTTAGTTTGCGATCCCTTTCTGTTGTTGACTTGCAAGGAAATGACCTGTCTGGTGCCATACCTGAATTCTTCGCTGATTTGTCATCCCTTAGTGTTCTTCAGCTTTCAAGAAATAAGTTTGAGGGTTTGTTTCCACAAAGGATCTTCCAGAACAGAAAACTGACAGCTATTGATATTAGCTACAACTATGAAGTTTATGGTGATTTGCCCAATTTTCCACCTAATAGCAGTTTGATCAAATTGCATGTCAGTGGCACCAAGTTCTCAGGTTACATACCAAGCTCTATTTCTAATCTCACGGATCTGAAGGAGCTGAGTCTGAGTGCAAATAATTTCCCTACAGAACTGCCGTCTTCTCTAGGAATGCTTAAATCCTTGAACTTATTTGAGGTTTCGGGGCTCGGCCTAGTAGGATCAATGCCAGCTTGGATAACAAATCTAACATCTTTGACAGATCTCCAAATTTCTCATTGTGGTTTGTCTGGATCTTTACCATCTTCCATAGGCAATCTCAAGAATCTCAGAAGAATGTCTTTATTCAAGAGCAACTTCACTGGAAACATACCATTGCAAATCTTTAACTTGACACAACTGCATAGCTTGCATCTTCCACTAAACAACTTCGTGGGGACAGTGGAACTTACCTCATTCTGGAGACTACCATACTTATCACACCTTGATCTTTCAAATAATAAATTATCTGTGGTGGACGGGTTAGTCAATGATTCAGCAGTGTCCTCTCCCAAAGTAAAATTCTTGAGCCTAGCTTCCTGCAACATATCAAAGTTTCCCAATGCATTAAGACATCAAGATAAGATAATCTTCCTTGACCTTTCAAATAACCAAATGAATGGGGCAATACCTCCATGGGCATGGGAAACTTGGAAAGAATCGTTCTTCTTGGACCTATCAAATAACAAATTTACCAGTCTTGGACATGACACGTTGCTCCCCCTGTACACAAGATATATCAATCTCAGTTATAATATGTTTGAAGGACCCATACCTATACCTAAAGAGAGTACAGACTCTCAGTTGGATTACTCGAATAATCGGTTTTCTTCTATGCCGTTTGATCTAATTCCATATCTTGCTGGTACACTATCTCTAAAGGTCTCTATGAACAATGTCTCTGGAGAAGTCCCATCAACATTTTGTACTGTTAAGAGTCTCCAAATCCTTGACCTTTCCTACAATATCTTAAATGGCTCAATTCCTTCCTGTCTGATGGAGAATTCATCAACACTAAAAATATTAAATTTGAGGGGAAATGAACTTCGCGGAGAGTTGCCACATAATATGAAGGAAGACTGTGCATTTGAGGCATTGGATGTCAGCTATAATTGGATTGAAGGGACACTACCTAAATCATTAGTAACTTGCAAAAACTTGGTGGTACTTAATGTTGCGAACAATCAAATTGGAGGCTCTTTTCCATGTTGGATGCATCTTCTTCCTAAACTCCAAGTCCTTGTCCTGAAGTCCAATAAGTTCTACGGGCCGTTGGGGCCTACTCTTGCTAAAGATGATGAATGTGAACTACAGTATCTCCGAATTCTTGATCTAGCTTCAAACAACTTCTCGGGAGTATTGCCTTATGAATGGTTTAGGAAACTAAAATCCATGATGTCAGTCTCCATTAACGAAACATTGGTCATGAAAGATGGAGATATGTACAGCACATTTAACCATATAACATATCTTTTTACTGCTAGATTTACATATAAAGGACTGGACATGATGTTTCCTAAGATCTTAAAGACCTTTGTACTAATTGATGTCTCAAATAATAGATTCCATGGCAGCATTCCTGAAACTATTGCCACACTAAGCATGCTCAATGGTCTCAACATGTCACATAATGCTCTTACAGGACCAATTCCCAACCAGCTTGCTAGTCTGCATCAACTTGAGTCTTTGGACCTCTCATCAAATAAGCTTTCTGGGGAGATCCCTCAAAAATTAGCATCCTTGGACTTCCTATCAACATTGAACCTATCCGATAATATGCTGGAGGGAAGAATACCGGAGTCACCTCATTTCTTGACACTCCCCAATAGTTCATTTATACGAAATGCTGGTTTGTGTGGGCCTCCATTGTCGAAAGAATGCAGCAACAAATCAACATCAAATGTGATGCCACACCTTTCCGAAGAGAAATCTGCAGACATTATACTATTTCTCTTTGTTGGATTGGGTTTTGGTGTTGGGTTTGCTATTGCAATTGTAGTGAGGAAACCTTGCATTGGCAAATAATCTTCATCAAATCCACCCATTTTTATATTTATATGTTCAGGAGTTTGCCAGTCTGCTTCCCCTTGTAAATTTAGCTGTCATTATAGTTAGCCTGTATGATTTATAGTACTATGTGCACGTACAACATTTTTTTCCATCATCATGCATCCTATAAGATTAGTATTGAAAATTTTATACAAGCCAACAGAAAATTGTTATGTCTGAACCAAGAAAGGAATAGAAATGCATGACCACAAATGTGGCATTATTAGGGTCAGTTTAACTTGTAGCATAGATCAGTGAGCTATATGCCGTGATTTTGTGTTTGAAATGTATACTTACACAGAACTTACTTAAGTACCAAACAACCATACTGGAACACAAAATTTCTGTGTGAAGAACTGAAGATCACTTAATTATGTGTTGGAATAAAACTTTCTGTGAAAAGATCACTTGCAATACAATTGTAATCAGCGTTATACTGATAATGTTACTAGTAGTAGTCACACTAATACTAACCTGAATCTTGTATATGCACCAAATTAGGTAGTAAGAAATATATATATGAACTAACTAAATGAGGTCATCCAAGAACAATGCACAAGCAAGGCTTAAAATAAATGGAAACAAGAAAGCAATGTTAAATTTACCCGACTGTTTATTAAGTATCACCTCTACATCTATACCTAAAATTAAAACGGTGTCATATATCAGGTCGCACATTGAACTGCTAGATTCCTAATAGGCTAATACCACAGCAGCAGCAGCAGCAGCAGCAATAAGCTGCATACGTAATTCCGTAGAATCGTAGTAATTCCAAAATCGGTTCATAATATTCGAGAAATACTGGATTTCACACACAAACCTGTGCAATTCAGCCGATGAACACGGAAGGACCATTCCATCAAACACCTGGCGGACGACAAGAGCCCGCCGATGCAAACCTCCTGGGAGTGGGACATGGACATCCCCATTGTGACCGCATTGGTTGTCAGCTGGTCACCCACCCCACTTGGGCTCCCAAATCCCATGACGGCCACCTTGTGCTCAACGCCTCAACCCGGTGCCCGTGCCCCCATTCCGGTGGCGGTGGTTGGGGATTCCGGTGTACAGCCTGCGGTGGGGATGGGATTGGGAGTTCGCCGAGTCCTCCGAGTGGGATGCACGCGGAGGAGAGGACGACGTGAGGAGGGGCTCGCAAGTGGCGGCGGCGGCGGCGCAACCCCTCCACGACGGCGTGCGGGCGCCTGCGCCGCATATGGACATATGGTGTACATCGAAATTACAGATTTTGTATGGGCCTCAGACATCTGGCCCAACAAGGGTCCGACTCATTCGCTAATTTCTGAAATACGTACTCCGTCGGACCAATAATACCTGTCGTTTGGGCAATGGTAAGGTTAAACTTTAGAATCTTTAATTATGTATCATTTTTAAAATATTTGTCTCTTAAATATGATGACTACATTATAGATTCGTCTTAAAAAGTATTTTAATAAGATCATATATTTGTTAACACCTTTTTACATATTATAATAGAAAATAATGATCAAAGTTGTTTTTTTATACCGTGTCCTTATTCAAAACGACAAGTATTATCAATCGTAGGGAGTAACCTCTATTATCTGAACAAGCAAATTGTTACGTACGTATTCAAAATTTAAAATTTAATGCATGGTTAAATTTATCATGGTGTTCTAAACTAGTTAGTGGTTTTTAATTTCTCGTATATATTACGATGCTTGTAACAACAAATCCATAATTATAGAAAATTACATTCAAATGATCAGTTCAACGGTATTACTTTTATCAAACAAAATTTAAATTATATTAGATTTATGGTTTGTCAGATATTACTAGGGTTGAATTAATATGTGTGCACACATTGTATTTTTTTTTTGGGAAAGATGGTACAAATGATTGACTGAGAAACCACAACAAGTTTTCTTAATCGAAAATTACATCAAGTTTCATTTGCGGCAAACTAATAAAATCATAAGAAATATGAAAAACTATCACACGAGCAACAGCAATTAAAACAGAAACACAAAAGAACCACGTATACACTGTCCAAGTAGAATTCCATGCCTCCCGAATTGATGAAACGCGCAAGCTCGCAAGTGTAAGTGTCACAAATGCACGCACATTTATCGGGTGCCTAGTGCTTAGGAGGGCACATCACCGGCCGGAAAGCGAGCGGGCCAGTGGCATACATGACATTATAGTAGTCATGGTCGGACCACCGCTTGCCCTCGTCACGGAGTGGCGCACCCTCAATGCTAGAGTAGTTGATGTTTGTGGGGTTGTTGCATTCGAAATCCGGCGAGGCATGAAGACGCACATAGCACGCCTTACGCGGATCACCCATGTAGAAGTCGGAGACTTTAGTCTCATCGAGCTCCGCGCGGAAGTAGCCATTATCGTCGGCGACGGCCTGATGGCACCTCACCATTGCGCGATTCTTGGCGTCGTGGCATATGACAGACACCTCCGCCTTAGACAGCGGCTTCGCGTCTTCGAGGCTGTGTGTTTCTTTGCACGCAGCTCTGGCAGTACACCATACCCTCCAACCTCACCAACAGCTTGTCGCTGTGGGCCGGAGGGGTGTACTGCTGCGGCGGCGGTGGCGGCGATGGTGATGGTGTGGTGTAACCATAATTTGCGGTGGCGCCGGCGGCCAGGAGGGACACGAACACGAGGATCGCGAGAGGATGCAGGGCAGCCATTGCTCTGAGCTAGCTTGCTGTGCTCCGTGCTCGACTGATGAGATGTTTTGTTTTGAAGCTTTGGCTATGTCGAAACGAAGAGGCGTGTGGGTTATATACTGCATGCCATGTACTAACGTGCGGACATGTAGATGGAAATTAACTGTCTTGATTTTGGATGAAGATCACATTTTATTTTTTGTTATTCGATTCTGACAATATATAATGATTAGCCCGCGAAAGAAATGCTAGCATGTAATCATTGATCTGTAAGGCAATTTGAATAGAAGAAATCGCATGCTCATGATCTGCCTGGTGATTAGTTAAGAGTTCGTAGTATTCAGGAGGAAGATACGCAGGTTTGTCGGAACGTGCAGCCCTTAACGGCACTGAAATACCAGGTTCTCCACCCTGGCAGATGATTTTTGCCGATAGAGCTACAATATTTATGTCAGTACTCTGAAAAGGAGTAGGGCATGTCATTTCCTACTCCTACCGTCCCATAAAAAACGAATTTAGGACGGGATGTTACATATTCTATTATGATGAATCTGGACATATATATATATATATATATATATATATATATATATATATATATATATATATAAGATTCATAGTACTAGAAAGTGTCATATCCGGTACTAGATTGGTTTTTTATGGGATGGAGGGAGTATGTAAAATATATGCAAATTTTGCTACAGGACATTGCGACTTTGTGGTTTTAGCTATAGGACACCACGTAAAGTGACTTTTGGGAGAAGACACTATGTAAATATGGTTATTTACCACGAGACACCGTATCCATTAAATTAGTATTTTTGTGCTGACGAGGCTAGAAGGGGCCCACTTTGTTAAACATCATGACCGAATTGCCCCTCTTCATCTTCCTCTTCCTCTCCTCTCTTCCCCTCTCTCTCCCTCCTTTCTCTCTTCTCTCTTCTCCGGCGAGGCATTCAACCCGCAAGCGGCGGCGCGACCACCAGAGCTGCAGCGGCGCGGGGAACCACTCCTCACGGCGCCACCCAAACGTGAACTGCAGGTACGCCGCGAGCAGCAGCCATGCCACAGCGCGCACCGCCCCGACAACGGCCTCTAGTGGTATGTTCCCGGTGGCGAGGAACACCGCGATGTCGCTGAGCTCAACATGGAGGTACGAGAATGAGCCACCGGCGGATGGGATCTCCGTGGTGAGCGGAGGACCGAGGGCACCAGATCCAACGCCCCCGTTGAGCTCAGACCATGGAGAGAGGGGCATGCGACGATGGTGGGGGAGGGGGAGCAGCGGAGAGAAGGCAACAGAGGAGGAGCGGCATCGCCAGTCATGAGAGTGGAGGGGAGGGGGAGAGGCGCCGCCGGGAGGGAGGGGGAGGTGGAGCTCGTGGTGGGGGGTGGGAGGGGAAAGTGTGATTAGGGTTAGGGTTATAGGCAGCAACGGTTTTGATGGATTTAGAATCGATCCGAGTCATCCATCAAAACGAGTGGCTTAGATCGATCCTGTGTCGGGCCGGCCTCCATCTCGGGCCACAACACTGTTGGGCCACGCGCTCTTCATGGGCCGGACGCGCAATAGCAGGCCGATAGGGTCCAATGGGTTTTTTTTTTCCTTTTTTAGAACCTTTTTATTTGTAAGCAATATATTTTTTATGGGCTCGTAATATGAAAAACTAAAACCTAATTAATCATCTAATATTTTATATTTGCTATAATTTTAGTTTACTCGTAGCAACGCACTGGCATCTTTTCTAACAAAATTTAATTTATATTAGATTTATGGTTCGTCAGATATTACTAGGATTGAATTAATATGTATGCACACCTTGTATTTTTTTTTTGGAAAGAGGGTACAAATGATTGATTGAAAACCACAACAAGTTTATTTAATCGAAAATTACATCAAATTTGATTTGCAGCAAACTAATAAAATCATAAAAAATTTAAAAAATTATCACACCAGCAACAACAATTAAAACAGAAACACAAAAGAACCACGTATCCACCGTCCAATTATAATTCCTTGCCTCCCGAATTGATGAAACGCGCAAGCGTGCAAGTGTAAGTGTCACAAATGCAGACACATTTATAGGGTGCCTAGTGCTTAGGAGGGCAGATTGCCGGCCGAAAAGCGAGCGGGCCGGCAGCGTACATAATATTATAATATTATAGTAGTCATGGTCGGCCCACTGCTTGCCCTCGTCACGTAGCGGTGCTCCCTCGATGCTAGAGTAGTTGATGTTTGTGGGGTTGTTGCATTCGGAGTCTGGTGAGGCCCGAAGCCGCACATAGCACGCCTTGCGTGGATCACCCATGTAGAAGTCGGAGACATTGGTTTCATCGAGCTCCGCACGGAAGTAGCCGTTATCGTCGGCGACGGCCCGACGACACCTCACGATGGCGCGATTCTTGGCGTCGTGGCAGATGACGGACACCTCCGCCTTAGGCAGCGATTTCGCGCCTTCGAGGCTGTGTGTGTTCCTTTGCGCGCAGCTCTGGCAGTACACCATACCCTCCACCTTCACCAGCAGCTTGTCGCTGTGGGCCGGCGGGGTGTACTGCTGCCGCGGCGGTGGTGGCGGCGATGGTGATGGTGTGGTGTAGCCATAGTTTGCCGTGGCGCCGGTGGCCATGAGGGACACGAACACGAGGATCGCGAGAGGAAGGAAGTCAGCCATTGCTCTGAGCTAGCTTGCTGTGCTCCGTACTCGACTGATGAGATGTTTTGTTTTGAAGCTTTGGCTGTGTCGAAACGTAGAGAGGCGTGTGGGTTATATACTGCATGCCATGGACTAAATGTGAGGACATGTAGATGGAAATTAAACTTGATTTTGGATTAAGATCACATTTTATTTTTTGTTATTCGATTCTGACAATATATAATGATTAGCCCGGCGAAAGAAATGATAGCATGTAACGATTGATCTGCATGGCACTTTTAAGAGAAGAAATCACATGCTCATGATCCGCTTGGTGATTAGTTAAGAATTTGTAGACTATAAAGTATATTCAGGATGAAGATATATATGCAGATTTGCCAGAACGTGCTGCCCGTGTCTGTACCTAACGGCACTGCAATACCATGTTGGGCAGATGATTTTTTTGCCGATAGGGCTACCCCTACTACGAAAGTGATTTTTGCACACGGCCCAAAAGAGATTTTCGTGTGCAGTAGGGTAGCCCGCTCGCACTAAAAGATCTACGAAAATAGCTATTTTTGCGTGCAGGAGTTTGAGAGAAAGTGAGAGAGTAGTATGTGGAGAAGAGGAGGTGAGAGAGAGGAGAGATGATAAGGATGACTTAGAAAAAAAATTAAGTGCTAGGAGGGAAAAGAGAAGGTAACTCGAACTTCCGGGCGGACCTTTAAGATGGCCGTCTGCGAAAATATATTTTCCCGTGCAGCCCCTTAAGAGGTCCATATGGAAAAATAATCTTATTTTCCTGTGCAGCTACTTAATAGGGTCGTCTGCGAAAATGTTAGTCGATTTTTGTAGACACGGATACTTATGGTCCGTCTGCAATATATTGAGGAGCTCATCCAGAAAAATCATTTTTTATGGTGATTATTTATATCAGTAGCTACATTATTCTCCATACAGATAGGTTTTGCTATTTTACATGTGATAGATTTTTGGGCTTCTATTTTTCGATATGTTGTTCATAGGATTTTGCATCAAGATTCGTGTTTATGTAGTTATAACTTGCAATTACACTTATTTATGTAGTACGTTTCATGTAGTATTAAAGTACCATGACGTCTTTTTTCTTAGCGCCTGAAACTAACGGAAAGAAAACGAGTGTATTTTTCTCATTGTTTTGTAGAAAGGAGTTACATAGGCGCTATGCCAGCTAAAATTGGAAACAATACCACCAAGAAATTTCGTTTGCACTTGTTTTGGAAGTTGGAGGATGTGTTCTATCTGGTTTTCGGTCAAGGGACGATTTTGTAATTCGGTGATAAGACGAGGGATCTCCACTGTACTTTTTCCACATTGAAATTACAGATTTTGTATGGGCCTCAAACTTTTGGCCCAACAAGGGTCCGACTCATTCGCCAATTTTTGAAATACGTAACCTCTGGTATCTATTTTTTAGATAATGGATTTTCATTAATCCGGCCTCTATATCCACGATGGATATAGACAGCTAAAATGATATAAGAGCACTTAAACTCAAATCTCAATAAAGAGGAGAACACACAACCAAAAAACAAAAAACCTACAACCTCGACACATCCCTGCATCCCGACATTCTCTCCTGAAATAGTCAAAATCGATGAGTGGAAGTCGTTTAGTCACAACCGCCCCTAGTACGTTGTCGCTGCGAATCTCCACTGGTGCCTTCTTCATCTGCTTCAAGTGAACCGATGCCACGCACCACCGAGTAGTCCACCTTCATCCATCGTCGTCTAGTCAGAACTAGCCAACTAGACACGGGCTGAAAGGATCTGCTTCACCGGATTCCTAAGCCTCTGCCGCCCATAGGGCCGCTGCCAACGTCGGAATCCTTCTCCGCCTCTCCGATTCCCAGCCCACTACCACCTCTGCCAACGTCCTTTGCCGTGGTCAGAGAGGACATCATCTTCCGCCCGGACTCCAAGGCCTCCGCCGCCCCAAGGGCTGCCATCGCCGATTGGATCCACCTTCACCTGAACCATCTGCATCGGTGATTACGCCGCCACTGCCTCTAGGGCTGCAGCTGCCGCAACCGAGGAGGTCATTGCTTGGACTCGCACACCGCCGCTGCCCCTAGGGTCGCCCGCTAGCTACGAAACCACCTTCGCCGGAACCGCCTTCTCCTTGCCGAGGACCGGACATCAACGCTTACGTCGCCGTTCTCCACAGCATCCACCGTCGCCCAAAGAATCGTGTCGCCGACGTCTTGCCGACCCGCCGCCGCACTGCCTCCCGACCCCTCCACTGCTGCGCGCAAGGTGCGGTTCGGCCAACGCCGCTCGCCAACTCGCGCGCCTCCGTACCTCCGGACCACCTCCGCAGCCGCGCTCGGCCCGGCCGGCCACCGCCGCCCACGGCCCCGTCACCTTCCACGCCACCAGATTTTGGGGGCCGGAACCCCAGACTCGGTACAGCCCTCAGCCGCGTCGTGGTCTCCGCCGAAAGGCCCCGCTGTCGCCTTCCTCACTGCCGCTCGGCACGCCGGCGGCCTGCTCGGGCGGCGGCAAGGCGAGGAGACAAGGAAGCGAGAAGGAGACGAGGAAACGCTGTGAGGCGAGATAATCTAACTAAGCAAATTACCTACGTACTCAAAATTCAAAATTTAAGGTATAGTTAAATTTAGCATGGTTTTCCAAAATATTTAGTGATTTTAATTTGTCCTATATATTACGATGCTTGTAACAACAAAGCCATAATTATAGAAAATTACATTCAAATATCAGTTCAACAGTATTATTTTTATCACATAAAATTTAATTTATATTAGATTTATGGTTCGTGAGTTATTACTAGGGTTGAATTAATATGTATGCACACCTTGTATTTTTTCGAAAGAGGGTACAAATGATTAACTGAAAATCACATCAAGTTTTCTTAATAAAAAATTACATCAAGTTTGATTTGCAGCAAACTAATAAAATCATAAAAAATTACAACACAATCACACAAGAGCAACAACAATTAAAACATAACACAAAAGAATCACGTATCCACCGTCCAATTAGAACTCCATGCCTCCTAAATTGATGAAACGCGCAAGTGTGCAAGTGTAAGTGTCATAAATGCAGACACATTCATAGTGAGCCTAGTGCTTAGGAGGGCAGATCGCTGGCCGCAAAGCAAGCGGGCCGGTGGCGTACATGAAGTTATAGTAGCCATGGTCGGCCCACCGCTTGCCCTCGTCACGGAGCGGCGCACCGTCACGGAGCGGCGCACCCTCAATGCTAGAGTAGTTGATGTTTGTGGGGTTATTGCATTCGAAGTCCGGCAACAACCGAAGCCGCACATAGCACGCCTTGCGCGGATCGCCCATGTAGAAGTCGGAGACTTTGGTCTCATCGAGCTCCACGAGGAAGTAGCCATTATCGTTGGCGACGGCCCGACGGCACCTCACCATGACGCGATTGTTGGCGTCGTGGCAAATGACGGACACTTCCGCCTTAGGCAGCGGCTTCACGCCTTCGAGGCTGTGTGTTCCTTTGCGCGCAGCTCTGGCAGTACACCATACCCTCCACCTTCACCAGCAGCTTGTCGCTGTGGGCCGGCGGGGTTTACTGCTGCTGCGGCGGCGGTGGCGGTGATGGTGATGGTGTGGTGTAGCCATAGTTTGCAGTGGCGCCGGCGGCCAGGAGGGACACGAACATGAGGATCGCGAGAGGATGGAAGGCAGCCATTGCTCTGAGCTAGCTCGCTGTGCTCGACTGATGAGATGTTTTGTTTTGAAGCTTTGGCTGTGTCGAAACGTAGAGACGTGTGGGTTATATACTGCATGCCATGGACTAAACATGCGGACATGTAGATGGAAATTAAGCTTGATTTTGATTAAGATCACAGTTTATTTTTTGTTATTCGATTCTGACAATATATAATGATTAGCCCGGCGAAAGAAATGATAACATGTAACGATTGATCTGTAAGGCACTTTTAAGAGAAGAAATCACATACTCATGATCTGCTTGGTGATTAGTTAAGAATTTGTAGACTATAAAGAATATTCAGGATGAAGATATATATGCAGATTTGTCAGAACGTGCTGCCCGTATATGTCCCTAACGGCACTGCAATATGGTAGGGCAGCCTGCTCGCGCTAAAAAATCTACGAAAATAGCTATTTTTGCGTGCAGGAGTTTGAGAGAAAGTGAGAGAGTAGTATGTGGAGGAGAGGAGGTGAAAGATAGGAGAGATGATAAGGATGACTTGAAAAAAAAAATTAAGTGCTAAGAGAGAAAGATGAGGTAACTCAAACTTCTGGGCGGGCCTTTAATATGGCCGTCTGCGAAAATATATTTTCCCGTGCAGCCCCTTAAGAAATTCGTATAGAAAAATAATCTTATTTTCCTGTGCAGCAGATTAATAGGGTCGTCTGCGAAAATACAAGTCAATTTTCACAGACACGGATACTTATGGTCCGTCTGCAATATATTGAGGTGCTCATCCATGAAAATCATTTTTATAGTGATTATTTATGTCAGTAGCTACATTATTCTCCATAGAGAGGCGTGTGGGTTATATAGTGCATGCCATGGACTAACGTGCAGACATGTAAATGGAAATTAAGCTTGATTTTGGATTAAGATCACATTTTATTTCTTGTTATTCGATTCTGACAATGTATGATGATTAGCCCAGCGAAAGAAATGATAACATGTAACGATTGATCTGTAAGGCACTTTTAAGAGAAGAAATCACATGCTCATGATCTGCTTGGTGATTAGTTAAGAATTTGTAGACTATAATTCTATAAAGAATATTCAGGATGAAGATATATATGCAGATTTGTCAGAACGTGCTGCTCGTGTCTGTCCCTAACGGCGCTTCAATATCTTGTTGGGCAGATGATTTCCCTAATGGCCTAGCCGCATGTGAAAATAATTGCTGGCCGTATGTAAAAACCTATTATGTAGTAGTGGCAGTATGTGGAGAAGAAGAGGTGAGAGAGAGGAGAGAAGGTGAGGATGGCTTGAAAAAAAATTGAAATGCTAGGAGGGAAAAGAGGAGATAACTTAAACTACTGGACGGACCTTTAAGATGATCGTCTGCGAAAATATATTTTTACTACTGGACGGACCTTTAAGATGGCCGTCTGTGAAAATATATTTTTCCTGTGCGGCCTCTTAAGATGTCCATCTATAAAAATAACCTTATTTTTTCGTGCGGCTGCTTAATAGAATCATCTATAAAGATATGAGTCGATTTTTGCAAACACGGATACTTAGTCCACCTGCTATCTATTCAGGTGGTCATCCATGAAAATCATTTTTAAGTAGTGATTATTTATGTTGGTAGCTACATTACTCTCCATACAGATAGGTTTTGCTATTTTACTCGTGACAGATTTTTGGGCTTCTGTTTTTTTATATTTTGTTTATAGGATTTTGCATCAAGATTCGTGTTTATGTAATTCTAACTTCCAATTACACTCATTTATTTAGTACGTTTCATGTAGTATTAAAGTACCACGACGTATTTTTTCTTTGGGCCTGAAACTGACGAAAAGAAAACGGGTATATTTTTCTCATTGTTTGCAGAAAGGAGCCATATAGGCGCTATGTCGGCTAAAATTGGGAACAATACCACCGAGGAACTTTGTTTGCACTTATTTTGAAAGTTGGAAGATGCATTGTGGATGTGTTTAGTTGAAAGTTGGAAGTTGGCCTGTCTCTGGTTTTTTATCGAGGGATGATTTTCTAATTCGGTGATAAAATGAGGGATCTCCGCTGTACTTTTTCCACATCAAAATTACAAATTTTCTATGGGCCTCAGACATCTGGCCCAACAAGGGTCCGACTCATTCTTCAATTTTCGAAAATACGTAACCTCTGGTATCGGACTAAGCAAATTACGTACGTACTCAAAATTAAAATTTAAGGTATAGTTAAATTTAGCAAGGTTTTCCAAATAGCAAGTGATTTTTAATTTGTCCTATATATTACGATGCTTGTAACAACAAAGCCTAATTATAGAAAATTACATTCAAATCTCAGTTCAACGGTATTATTTTTATCAAATAAAATTTAATTTATATTAGATTTATTGGTCGTGAGATATACCAGGGTTGAATTAATATTTATGCATACCTTGTATTTTTTTGGAAAGAGGGTACAAATGGTTGACTGAAAACCACAACAAGTTTTCTTAATCGAAAATTACATCAACTTTGATTTGCAGCAAACTAATATAATCATAAAAAAAATTACAACACAATCACACAAGGGCAACAGCAATTAAAAAATAGAAACACAGAAGAACCATGTATCCACCGTCCAATTAGAACTCCATGCCTCCCAAATTGATGAAGCTTCATAGGAAGCCTAGTGCTTAGGCGGGCAGATCGCCGGCCGGAAAGCGAGCGGGCCGGTGGCGTACATGACGTTATAGTAGTCATGGTCGGCCCACCGCTTGCCCTCGTCACGGAGCGGCGCACCCTCAATGCTAGAGTAGTTGATGTTTGTGGGGTTGTTACATTCGAAGTCCTGCGAGGCCCGAAGCCGCACATAGCACGCCTTGCGCGGATCGCCCATGTAGAAGTCGGAGACTTTGGTCTCATCGAGCTCCGCGAGAAAGTAGCCGTTATCGTTGGCGACTGCCCGATGACACCTCACCATGACACGATTCTTGGCGTCGTGGCAGATGACAGACACATCCGCCTTAGGCAGTGGCTTCGCGCCTTCGAGGCTGTGTGTGTTTCTTTGAGCGCAGCTCTGGCAGTACACCATACCCTCCACCTTCACCAGCAGCTTTTTGCTGTGGGCCGGCGGGGTGTACTGCTGCGGCGGCGGTGGTGATGGTGTGGTGTAGCCATAGTTTGCGGTGGCGCCGGCGGCCAGGAGGGACACAAACACGATAACCGCGAGAGGATGGAAGGCAGCCATTGCTGTGAGCTAGCTTGCTGTGTTCCGTACTCGACTGAGATGTTCTGTTTTGTAGCTTTGGCTGTGTCCAAACGTAGAGATGCGTGTGGATTATATACTGTATGCCATGGACTAAACGTGGGTACATGTAGATGGAAATTAACTGTCTTGATTTTGGATGAAGATCACATTTTATTTTTTTTTGTTATCGATTCTAAGAAATATATAATGATTAGCCCGCGTAGAAATGCTAACATGTAATCATTGATCTGTAAGGCACTTTGAATAGAAGAAATCGTATGCTCATGATCTGCCAGGTGATTAGTTAAAAATTCGTAGGCGATAAAGAATATTCAGGAGGAAGATATGCAGATTTGTCGGAACGTGCAGCCCTTAACGGCACTGAAATACCAGGTTCTCCACCCAGGCAGATGATTTTTGCCGATAGAGCTACAGTATTTATGTCAGTACTCTGAAAAGGAGTATGGCATGTCATTTCCTACTCCCACCGTCCCATCTAGAACGGGACGTGACATATTATAGACAATGAATGTGGATATATGCATGTCCAGATTCGTAGTACATACTAGGATATGTCATATCTAATACTAAGTTGGTTTTTTATGGGATGGAGGGACTATGTAAAATATAGGCAAATTTTGCTACAGGACATTGCGACTTTATGGTTTTAGCTGTAGGACACCGCGCAAAGTAACTTTTGAGAGAAGACACTATGTAAATGTAGTTATTTGCCACCAAACACCACATCCATTAAATTAGTATTTTTGTGCTGACGAGCCTAGAAGGGGCCTACTTTGTTAAACATCGTGACCGAATTGCCCCTCTTCCTCTTCCTCCTCCTCCTCTCCTCTTTCTTCCTTACCTCTCTTCATCTCTCTCCCTACTTTCTCTCTTCTCTCTTCTCCGGCGAAGCATACGACCCACAAGCGGCGGCGTGACCACCAGAGCCGCAGCGGCACAGGGAACCACTCCTCACGGCGCCACCCAAGCGTGAACTGCAGGTACGCCGCGAGCAGCAGCCATGCCATTGCGCGCACCACCCTGACGACGGCCTCCAACGGTATGTTCCCGGCGGCGAGGAACACCGCGATGTCGCTGAGCTCAACGTGGAGGTATGAGAATGAGCCACCGGCAGAGGGGATCTCCGTGGCGAGCAGAGGACTGGGGGCACCAGATCCAGCGCCCCCGCTGAGCTCGGACCAAGGAGAGAGGGGGCATGCAACGACGGTGGGGGAGGGGGAGCAGCGGAGAGGGGGCAACGGAGGACGAGCGGTGCCGCCAGTCGTGAGAGTGGATGGGAGGGGGAGGAGGAGCTCGTGGTGGGGGGTGGGAGAGGAAAGTGTGATTAGGGTTAGGGTTTTAGGCACCAACGGTTTTGATGGATTTAGAATCGATCCGAGCCGTCCATCAAAATGAGTGGCTTAGATCGATCCTGTGTCGGGCCGGCCTCCATCTCGGGCCATAGCACTGTTGGGCCACACGCTCTTTATGGGCCGGACGCGCAATAGCAGGCCGATAGGGTCCAATGGGGCCTTTTTTTCTTTTTTTAGAACCTTTTTATTTGTAAGCAACATATTTTTTTTATGGGCTCATATCACGAAAAACTAAACCCTAATCATCTAATATTTTTATATTTGCTATAATTTTAGTTTACCCGTTGGCCGTTGCAACGCACGGGCATCTTTTCTAATAAAATTTAATTTATATTAGATTTATGGTTCATCAGATATTACTAGGGTTGAATTAATATGTATGCACACCTTGTTTTTTTTTGGAAAGAGGGTACAAATGATTGACTGAAA